TTTTGATAGGTTGAAGCCGCCTTTGGAGCATTTACAACAGGAATGCCATAAATTAGGTCTGTCTCTCGAGGGGCCAGTTATTAAACAGTGACCAGCACATGATGGGATATAATCTCGCCTGTTTCTCACTTTATGTCAAAGACTGAGAGAACATTACCAAGGACCTCACTCTTTCCTACGTGTCCATCTCCAACCTGTCCCAAACTTATCTTCAAATTTTTCTTTTCCTTCTTGCTTTAGCTTCTGTTGCTATGACAAAATATATCATACACCAGCAGTTTAAGGGAAGAAAGATTTGTGTAGGCTCATGGCTCCATAGTCTGTGTTCAGTGGGTGCCTCTGCTTCGGGCCTGTGACATGGCAGGAAGATCGTGGAGAAGGACATTGCAGAGGCGAGCTGCTCGCCTCAGGGCATGCTGAAGCAGAGAGGCAGCAAGAGCCTGAGGAAAGTTCAGTGTCTCTTAGTCACGCCTGTCCCCTGTGACCTACTTCTTCCAATTAGATGCACTTCGCAGCTGTTCTTTCAGCTGTGAACTTGCCAACTGTTAACTCATGAGTCAAGACTCTAGTGATGCAGCCGCTTTCTGAACACCTGAGACCTTGGGAGGATAGTTTAGATCGATGCCATCTTACTTCTGTGCTTGGTTCTTACCTGTTTCTCTATACTCTAGGCACCAGGGAGTGGTCATTTCTCTTCCATCCTATCCTCTTCCTAGAGTTAATTTCACTTTGGCTCCCTGGTGATATTCCTACATACTCTTTCTCCTTCCAGAAATGCTGCAGAAAGATTAAAATATTAAATTAAGCAAGGTGATGTAGTCAATAGCGCATTGTCAGCAGTAGTCACTGTTATTATTTGATATTGGGGGGGTTATCAAAATCGTTTGTGTTTTGTGAAAGGTGAAATACTCGTTTAATTATTCATCAGGAGAGTTTAAGTATTCATGGACTGCATTTTTAGAGTTAGTTACATTGCCATGTGTGTTTTCAACAGACAAGTTTTACCTTTTGTGATTGACTTTCACAGGTCTGCAAACACTTTCAAAAGTCCATGTAACCGTTAGGGGTGCTTTGGTCTTAGGGACAGAAAAGCGAAGAGAAAGTGAAGTTGATTGTTTGGTGGTAGGCAAAAGGCACTAATGTTATCTCAGGCCTTATTCTTACTCATCAGGCAGGGCCTGCTACAGATTCAGCCATGAGACCTGCGTTGGTAACAAGTGTAGCGTTTAAAGCAGGCGTACAGCCTCGTGTTGCATTGACTTATGCCTTGGCTTTCTGAGTACAAAGAGTGAGAAACTGGGTTTTTAGTTTAGCTAGTATTTAACAATATTGATCCTGGACGGTGAGATTTTTTGACACAGAGATGGTAGAAATGAAAATAAGCACATGCATTCCTGTATAGGCACAACTTTACTGGGGGAGGGGATAGAAGGTTTTAGCCAAGTTGGAATTTTGGCTGAAAGCAGTCAGCAATTAATTGAGGGACCAAGCTGCTGCTTACAGAACAGAGAGGAGCAGGTGTATCAGTTAGTGCAATAATCAGTTAGAGAAATACTTACTGAAAGATACATACATATGTAAGAATTTAAAAATATATAAGATTACAGTGGCCACCTACGGAGTCAGGTACAGAATAGTGCGAAAGGGCTGTCTGTGAGTTGGAGATCCAAAGGATCCAGTCAAGGGCCTGGAACTCACTGTAGTATGCTGTGGGCGTCTGTATCAGGAGACTGAAGGGTCTGCAGTAGACCGTAATGACTGCTGAAAGCTGAAGAATCTGCACTGGAAGTCAGGAGACAACATCCAAGGTGAAGGTGAAGACTAGCGATCCTAGGGCTAGGTTTATAGCTTAAGGGCATAAGCACCTGCCTGGCAAGTGCAAGGTCCCAAGTTCAATCCCTGGTAGTGCAAAGACTAGAGCTCCTCTGAAAAATCAGAAGTGAGCCTTCCTTATTTACTTCCATTTTATTCCATTCAGGTGGTAAGCCTGTTGGTTACTGTCCCTCAGACCCAGAGTGGGTCTTCTGTCTTCAGTAAGTGCCTTCAGCCACACTCAGAACTATACTGATCTGATTTAGCTGGTCATTTCTTACTCAAGTTGATACAGTTAGCTATCACAACAGGTTTTATTAATTTGCTGGAGTGAGCTTAAAATCTGATGATTTTCATTGGCCAGGGGCATGGTTATAAAAGATGTACTTGTACTTGGTGGGCTAACAGGAAAGAAACCTGGTCCAGGGACTTCTGAGTTACTCTTGCAGCTGACATCATCATTTTGATGAACTTGTGAGAGAATTACAGGTTGTTTAGTACTTGAGTTATCGAGAAAGAGCATGAGAGCAAAGTGCAAGAAACACGTACACCAGCTCCCATGGGCATTAGGCTAAGTTAGCCCTATCATACTCATGGAGAAACATTTCTTAAAAGACCAGCATGTCTACATGCAGAGCTGAGTAAAATATAACGCAAAGATTAAGATAGCAAAGGGGACAGGCACACTCTGAAGACAGAGATGCAAGCCTTTTATCTCATGTTAGTCTCCATGAGACATCTATAAGCCCAAGTGAAAATTCAGTGTTCTCAGCAAAAGTGGCCTCTAGGTCCCAGGGAAGTAACCTAGGAAACTGTCATCATAACCCCTCCGTCAAAGGTGTTATCTACAGCAAAGCTGCATGGCCTCCAAAGTCAGTGATTTTAGTTGACGAAGAAGGAGTGAAACTACAGGGCTTAGTTTTTTCCTTGATAAGAGTTTCTCCTTTCATGCAAACAGTCAACTTTTATGGTTTGATCAGGATATCACGAGCGGTCTTTGGAAGCATACCATGTTACAAAGGCAACAGTTTATTGTGCCTAGAAGTTTATTTTATCATCCAAAGCTGTCTGTTTCACTATGATGGTCCATAACTGTGCCACTATTATGTAACGTAAGAAAGGGAAGCAAAAGAGTAGCGATTAGAACTAGGCAAGAGATATATCCACTGTCGTGGGTACCTCTAGTACGCAATAGCTCTTCTCCAAACATCTAAAATTAATGCATTTGGGAGAAACTTAAGAGGTAAAAATGTAATATATATGATATAGTTTCCGATAAGTTCATTAAGCTTTACTTAGTCTTTGTGAATAATGGAAAACTAGTTTTGATTTTCTCAAAGATACTCAAATTTAGAAGTTAGGATGGGTGCTTTCATGTAAACTCTTAATATGTGTGTCACATAGTATTAAACATACAAATTAGGAAACTGCTTAGTTTGCTTCCAATAGTATAGCGTAGAAAGTGGATGAGCCAAGTTTAGAACGTGACCTCATCTCTGTGGTACTTCTTAGATGTTTATAAATTAAAATGAATTAGAATTTTATGTAACTTCAATATTTGAGAGTGAGGAAACTTAAGCCTGCACACACCAAAAAGATAGTATTATATGTCATAGCCATTTGGTGGAAGAACTAGAGCCTCTGAGTCTTCTGATACCTAGTATACTTGGGATGGTAACAGATACCATTTAACAAGCGCTTGCTATGTATACTTTATGTATGCAAATCCACTTGTTTCCTATGAAACCCATATGAGATATCTATTATTATTATCCTGTTTAGACAGAGAAACTGATTTACACAATGTTAAGTTATACAGCCAGTCTAGTAAGAGGTGGATTTAGGACTGAACCCAGGCCTCTCACTTTCAAGTCTACACTGTTAACCAGTGTACACCGTGCCCTTTGCTAGGACCCATTCAGGAGAAAATAAGAACTTCTCAAGTTCATTATTTCCTGGTTCCAATAGTCTTGGAAGAATTTTACTTGTTTAGTGAAAAAAGGAAGTCAAGTAGAATATGTTATAAAATTTTACTGGTAAGACATATTTAAAACGTCATTTTAGAAGACAGTTCAAATAGGAATGTTATGAATTCCAGTTAAAAATTGTTCAAGCAAAACTAATATTCTTTCAATAACCCCCTTTTAGCTCGTAATTACTGGTTATATTTTCATAATTTTAAGAAGTACCATAGAATATTGATCCAGAATTTGAAATAAGAAAGCAGCAAATGAATATGTGAAAATAATCCCACACAGATGGAAATTAAATAGCTCAGAACTTCTTGATGAGTCACACTTTTGGAAAACTGTTTCATTCTTCCCCAAAGTGTGTCAACAGAGGGAGATACAACGTGATGTAGTTTTCATGTTTCAGCTTTAACATCTGCTGCATGGCAGCCCAGTTATATCCTATCTAAGGAAACATCTATAAATATTGATAAAGATTTCCTTTTTACTTTTCTTTCCCAGGCTGTTTATCTCTGTGTTTATTCTGTTGGCCACACAGTATCTCTGGATAATCTAGAACTTCAGTATTTTCCACATAGAACTCAAGATTGTCTACTTTTGCTGAGAGGTCAAGGAGATACGGTCTTGAAAGCCAGAGACTGTTAGCACTGCTGCGATTGGCTGTAGCCTTCGGTATCGCTTCTGCTGTTCCCATGCTGCCATTCATGCACAGCAGGGATCACCAGCATGTTAAAAGAGTGTTTCAGAATTTAATTGTGTTATGTTTTCATAAAACCTATAGGAGGGTGAACATAAAATTTAGGGAAAAATTGATTTTTAAAGAAGACAGTAAGCAATAGTTGATAACAGTGATGGCTACATAACTAGATTGAGATTTCAGCAAAGTAAATTAATAAGCAGCAAAAATTTTGCCAACTGCATGCCTAGCTTGTTGCCTCACTAAATATTTTAATTGGAGTAAAAGAAATTTGGGAAATTACTAAAACTAAGAAGGCAGATTTAGATATTTGGCAAGAACCCCACCACATAACTTTATATACTCATAGCAACAGATTGTTTTATTATTTGTTTGTGTAATTGGCATCATCTGTTATTGAGAATCTTGGAATAGCATAATCACTTGGGAGGGTCTGTGGACTACATTATTGGACTTGAGTTGACAGTATTCACATGCTGGTTTTTTACTGGTTTGAAATCCTGTTTGTTGCTGCTTTTTAGGTGGGACTCTTCCCTGGACATTGTGTTGAGTTAATTAACCAGAAAGTTCCCCAGTCAGTGACCAACTCAGTGCCAAAGCCCGGTAAGTACACTACCGCATTGGAGTGTTTCTGATCAACTAATCAAACACACAGATGTTCTCTTCCAGTTCTCTTCTTCTTGTTATGCCCTTCTTTGCATTTATTGGTGTGATACGCATTTTTAGTTTTGTGTGGTCTTGATTTTTAAGTATCTTGTTTCTCTGTTGATCATTTTACGGAGTTTGGTGCACATTCAAATTTTTAGGCAATTTAAAAGAACTGCTCTCTTAAGCTTTGTTACTACATATATGCTTTTATAATGAGACAGTAAAAAAGTTTATTATTGAATACACTGACTTAAAATACAGTTTCAAAGAACTAATATGGGAATGGTATGATTAACTAGAAATTAATAATTGAAGGCAACATATATTTTATCAGTGCCATTGACCATTAAATCTATTTTAAACAGCATTTCTTATTACTTCTAGTAAAGCAATATTGCAGGCTATTAAAATATCAAGAAAACTCGAATTTTTATATTTATTGGGGTGACTTAATCTGGACAAGATTCTACAGAATACTTAGTCTGGAAATGGTTGATCTGATGTAAATTTAAAAACTAATGTAAGCAAAAACTAATAAATCTAAAGGAAAGAAGTAATCAAATTTACTTTTCTTAATTCCATTTCTTCTATCCTTTTCCTCCCTGTAAGTAAAAAGAGAAAAAAAATATGGTTCTCAGAATTTGTGTTGCTTTTCCTTAATCATTATTTAGGGTTTAAGACCTTTATGTAAGATTGAGAAACTTGAGGCTTTTATAGGTAAATGGATGCAACTAGAGGCTACACTCACAAGTGATCCAAATCAGACCCACATGTGGAAACATCTTGTTGTCTCCCTAGTGTAGGAATCTGAAAGAGTACATAAGATCTGAAAGGTACAATAGAGATAGATAGTAAAAGGGAAAGAAACTGAACATAATAAACAATTGGGATAAGGGAAAAGAGAGAAAAGGGAAAAAAGAAAAGGAAAAAAAATCATGTATATGTATACACAGGATAGCTAAGATGGTTATACTCCTAATTTCTATCAGTTTTTTGAAGGTAGCAGTTCATGCTTAAAATTTTTACTTTAACCAATTTTATGTGATAGTATCTGTAATCCGAGCAACTACATTGTAAACAGGACTGTGCAGTATACCAACTGTTGCTGAATACCTATCATCTTGGTTTTTTTTTTTAAAATTGTGTATTATTAAAAAAATTGTGTATCGTTTCTAATGCCTTTTATTTTTCTATTATCTTTAAAATAAGTTTTCAAAAAAAATTTTAAAAATTGATAGAGAAAAAAGTGTATTCTTCCTTAATCGTTTTCTACTTTTGCCCCCATATTACAGACCAGTCAATCCTCATATAGAAAACTTAGGTAATAACCCCTTTCCAAGCCCATTTCTTCATAGAATGCTGGAGAATTGTTCTAATTTCTCTCATAGGAATTTATTTTAGAAAGACTAACTTTATTGCTCCACAAAGCAAGTACTTCAAGATCAGGTTCTTTGCACTTCTCCTTCAGCCAAGAATTCTCCGTTTTTTCGGGGCAAGGATTCTCACTTATTTTACCCTGATTTGGGTAAACTAGTAAGTTTTTTTTTTAATAAGATTTTCTATATGGGGTTTTGCTTGGTAAATGTTCATTAGTAATTGTGATGACTATAGGGTTGTTTGTTTGTTTTTTGTCTTTTGGAGACAGGGTTTTGCAGTTCAGGTTGGCCTTAAGCTACCTTATAGACCAGGCTGGTTTCAAACTTGCAACAATCCTCCTGCGTTAACCTTCCAAGTACTGGGACTACAGGCATGTGCCACCATGCTTGGCCTTAGATTTCTTTTTTAAAATATGGCACTAGTCATTTTCAAATTGCCACCTTGAATAATTGTGATGTAATTCACATACAATGCAGTTCACCCTTTTAAATTGTATAATTCTGTGGTCTTTAGTATACTTAGAATTATACAACTATTATCATGGTTAATTTTAGAACATCTTCATTACTCCAGAAAGGAATCCAGCGTTCATTGACAAACCTTTCTTTTCAGCTGCTTTACCACCACCACATATTCTAAGCAACCAATAACTTCCTTTTTGTTCAGTTTTCCCTATTCTGGATGGTTTTGTATAAGTGGAACAATATATTACGTGGTTTTTGTGACGAGCTTCTTTCACATATTGGCGGTGTTTTGAGGGTTCATCTGTGCTATCGCGTATATCAGTGGATTGCTTTTTTAAATGTCTGAATGCTGTTCCACTGTATGCATATATCATATTTTATTTGTCTGTTCATTTGAGTTGTTTCTATTTTGAGTTGTTATGAACATTTATTCTGTGTGAATGTTTTTCATCTTTCTCAGATACGTGTCTAGGGAGTTGAATTGCTCAATCATAGGAGAGCTCTAACTTGAACTTTTTAATGAGCTGTGAATTGTACCATTTTGTGATCTCATCTAAGGTGTATGAAAGTTCTAGTTGTTCCATTTTCTTGCTAAAACTTATTTGGATTTTTTTTTTTTTTTTGCCATCTTCAGGTATGAAGTATCTTACTGTGGTTTTAATTTACATTTCTGTTATAGCTGTTAATACTCAATATCTTCACATATATGTATTGGCAGTTTACTTATTTTCTTTAGAGAAATGTCTATTCAAATTCTTTGCTCACTTTTAATTGGATTGTTTGACTTTTTATCTTGCGGTGTAAATTTTCCTTATATATTCTAGATGCAAGTTTTTTACTACATAATGGTGATTACATGTTTTTTCTCCTATTTTATGTGTTGTCTTTCACTTTTTTGATGTATCCATTGAAGCAAAAGAGTTTAATTTTAATAAAATCCAGTTTATTTTTCTTTTGTTTCATATGCTTTTGGTATCTTTAAGAAGGTGTTGATTAGTCCAAAGTTATAAAGAGTATATTCAACATTTTCTTCTGAGCTTATAATTACAAATTTTCACAAGTTAATGTATGATCCATTTTTAAAAACTAATTCTTATGTGTAAGGCAGGAGCTCAACTTTATGTGGATATTCAGTCAGTTGTTCCAACACTATGTGTTAAAAATGTAATTTTTCCCTTGTTTAATGGTGTTGACATCCTTGGAAAAATCAATTTACCGTAGACACAAGTTGATTTCTGAACTTCCAGTTTTATTCCATTGATCTGTATGTCTGTTCTTATTCTAGTTTTACCCTCTCTTGATGTTGATGTTTTCTGTTAAGTTTTGCAATCAGGAAGTATCACTCCTGAATTTTGTTCTTCTAATAGGTTGACTTGGCTTTTTTGAGTCCCTTGTAATTTTGTGTGAATTTTAGAATCACTATCAATTTTACAAATAAGTCAGTGGGGGTTGTGATAAGGTACTATATTAAATCTGTACCATCTTAACAATATGAAATCTTCCAATTCCCACACATGGAATATTTTCCCACTTGTCTAGATAATCTTTAATTCTTTCAGTGTTTACTATTTTCTTTTCATAGTAAATTTTTATTAGTATATGTAGTACATGATAAATACATTCAAAAGAAGAAATTGGCACACACACCTACACAACTTTATTCTTTTTACTTCAGCTTTCCTTCTCCCTGCCCTCTCTCAACCATCCAGTTTTACATGTTTCATTATGTTTATTTTTAAATATTGTGACCTTGTTGATATTATAAATAGAATTATTTTCTTAATTTCATTAATGTTTATTGCAAGTACATAAAAATATTCTTGTATTGATTTTGTATCCTGAAACTGTACTGCATGGTTTATTCTTAATGTTTAAAAATGAATTCCTTGGGATTTTCTAAACACAAAATCATGCCATCAGCAAATAGAGATTTTGCCTTTCTGTCTAGATTCCTTTCATTAATTTCTTCTTGCTCTGATATCCTCGTGGGACCCACAGTACAATGTTGAGTAGAACCTCAAGCACAAGCACCCTTTTCTTATGTCTATTCTAAGGCAAAATCACCTATTGTCTCAGCATTAAATGAGAGGTCAGCTGTGGATTTCATAGATGCTCCTTATTATTAATGACTGAACAAGTGTTCTCTTCTGTTTCTAGTTTGTTGAGTTGCTCATAAGATTATTTTAAAAGGCAGTAGTCTATGTGTGGATGATCATAGGTTTTTGTGGTCACTATTTTTGAAATGACTAAAATCACCCATCAAAAACTGGCTTCCTTAGCGTCATTTTAATCCATCTTCCTGTGGTGTAAGCTCTTATTAATTGTGCTCAATAACATTACCCAGAGATCTCCTGTAAACTTGAGTCTTTAATGCTTAGTATTATATTGGCATTAAAAATGGTATTGATTAAATATTTTCTCGTGTTTCAAATGGTGAAATGCACCAGTAATAATAACTACCAGAAGTTTCTAATATTGGGAAGGTTAGTTATTGATGGTTGTAGGAAATGGGTTTATACTCAGATCTCTAAATCATTGTTAAATCATCTATATTAGTAATTAGTATAAACACCTAACATACTTTCAAAAGCTAATTTTTTTTTCTAATGTGAATAGCATTTCAGGACTGGCATAGAGAAATATACATTCTTAATATATTTTTGAAAAGGATGATGTAAATTCAGTCAGCGTTGGACTTGTTTCACACTTTAAAACTGTCTTTGCCTACAGTATAAACAACTTGAATGTTCTATTTATTTTTAACATTGCCATCTGTGACTGTTAGATTGTGGATCTGAAAGATGCAACTATAGTTTGAGACTAAGAATTTAAACCTCCCCTATAGTATTACACAACAAGGGTAATAGGAAAATTTTTTCTCTTTAAAGCTGTTCTTTATGTTCTCAATATGTTCAATTATTTGTGTATATGAAAATAAAAATGAATCACCATATCCTGACCAAGATAGCAAATATCCATGGTGCCTTAAAAAAAGAAGGGAGAGAAGGCCTGTGGGAGACAGAGGGAAAGGGGAAACAGCAGCAACATATCTATACGAAATCATCATTTAGTTTGAATCACCATGGGAAAAATATTTGATGGAAGGATGTGAGA